TGCCAGCTGACAGCAGTATTTTCTTTTGTACTTCAAACCGATTGCAAAATAATATTCTGATAAGTAAGATTGGTATGTCCATACCAGCACTACAGTTTTATTTAAGAGAAGCAGAGTTTATAATGCGAGTTTTTCCAAACAAGATTTGATCCAAAGGCAACTAAACCATAAAAAAGATCCAAATAAAGAATGTAATTGGCCACTTTTTAAATAATATAATGAAAATTAAGAGCGAGAGTAGTATGTCACATTTGTATAGTCTATCCTCCTCATACCTCGTGTTTGGTATTTTCTTTGCTAAAGATCAGTTAGCTACAGTTCAGCTTGTCTATCTATCATGAATCAATAAGAATGACCAGTTCAAGAAAATAACCAAAATCTTCATAGAAGAGAAAAAAAAAATTATTTGTATCAGGATCCTGTGCTTGCTGAGTAACACTGTGATTCCAAATTAATGCTTTAAAAGAGTCTAAAACATACACACACACACACACACGTAAAGACCATAGACAATGATCTTACCTTTTACTTTCTAATTTTTCAAGCTCCTCTCGTTGCTGTCTCTCAAATTCTAGCCTGATTAAAAAAATAAAAAAACAAAAAAACAAACCAACAACACAGTGAAAAAGTTATTATTTCCTGAATATCACAAAAAATAGGAAGATACGATGCAATTCAGAGTCTGTTTAGATTACAATAATGGTACAAATCAAAAGTTTTATAAAGCTATTTTCTACAATAACACAAAATATTTCCTTCATTAGGGTTACAAATTAGATATCATGCTTTCTGACATGAGTACAAATAGAAAAGTAAATGAATTTCTGGGGTGGGGGAGGAAATATTTTTAAAATAAAGTTAACAAGACAGATAAATGATTAGCAGAGCTTCTGCAAGTTAACTACATGCAGGGATGGCAATCAATACATAGAAACTAAATTTCTCTACCTTAGACAGATCGGTCCTTTTACAGGGAAAAGACTGCCGTGGGAGGCAGGGGGAAACAGTGCGATCAATTAAGAGAGGAATTGACAGAAAAAAACATATTAGCGGTACAGAATATTTTAAAGTCAACAACAGTTTGTTTTATTAGAGGTTAAATTGGTTAGATCCATAGAACATTCTTCACATTACTATCCAAAAGTAAAATTTAAATAATTCTTCTTTCTAAACGCATCTTTCAAATGCCGATGATGGTTAATCGATGCTCAGCATTCTGTGGTTCTTTACCTTGGCCACTTCTGAGAAAGGAAAGAGATACAAAACTGTGCTACCACATGCTCATCGTTCTTTTCTCTCCCTAGGAAAAAAAACCCAAACAAAAAAAACCACCACACAAAAAAAACCCCATTACTATGGGGTAGCCAGTGGGGTTGAAAAACCTCAAATTCCAGGAAACACTCAAGTACAGAACACAATTCAAATTCATTTATCTAAAATATTCTGAGATTTTAATATATTTAGTTTGATAAGGTTCTGAATAATTATGGAGAGTATTTTATGTCATTTTTAATATCAGCTCTTATTACAGTTGTACAGAACGTATTTTAATTTTCTTTGAAAGACACGTGGTTTTGAAGCAAGTTTTTCAAAACAAAGTTTTTCTAGGCTTTTTTAAAGCACAGAGAACCTATATATGGACTAAAATAGTCATCCAAATACACAAATATATAGTTTTTTCACGCCTGCTACAGCTAAATGAGTTTGCAGATTAGTGAGATAGTTCATAAACACTGAAAAAATGCAAGACTGCACCACAAGTTAACTTCCAAGTATGTGAGGAACTGCAGTTTAAGATGCCACAACCACAATTATATAGCCAGGTTTTTTTAAAAATAAGGTAAATTTAATATTTCTTTCTTAAAACCATACAAATACCTATGACAAAAAAGAATTGCCCTTGGAAACACGCGAAAATACACCAATAATCTAACATTTATAAAGTAGTTTAAATGAACTTTGATTCCTACACGCTCAAGAAGCATCCTTCTAATCGTGGCAATACTGGAGAAAGACTAGTTTAACAAATTCAATTTTTCTATATTTCTCAAAAAATTCATTAAAAAAATACCTTCTACAATGCCTAACATATTAGCAAATATAGATTTTTATACACAACTACAGACATCCAGAGCCTTCATATAAATGTCTCACCAAGAGCCCCTTCAAATTTGCATTAAGACTATGTCAAGGATGGGCACTTCTGGGCACTATCTCAACATTACAGCACAAGGAGAGATGACAACAACTTAGTATTTTTATTTTTATCATCATCTCTGTAGCAGCAAAATCCATGAACTTATGCAAAGAGGAAAAAAAATAAATCATAAGGGACCTTCAGAAAGCAAAAGCTTAATTTAATGGTTAACATGCACTGGGGTTTTTTTGTTGTTTTCTTAAGCTATACCTCAAAAGCCCTGGCTTTGGCTATGGTCTACCTCTGGAATTCATAGCTGTTAGATATCACTTCTTACCTAGGGCTTGGCTGACAAATGACACTATATTCATCATTACTTCAGTCTAAAGTAATAAAGACCCTGGGGAAGACAAGGCTGGTCTGTGGAAACACAGATGTCTGTTGGGCACTGTCAGATGTAGACCATCTTTGCTTAGACAGCTGGCAAAGATGATTTACAAGTATTCCCATGCTTGGTTAAGCCATAATGAAGTAAAATGTTTCGGATCAGCTAACATCATGTGCAAAACCCACAGCAAAAATCTTTTGATTTTTGACTGTCCTATAAAACACATAATTTGGCAAACATTTTTATATACACATAAAAATGGTAACCAACTTCTGATTGCGGATACAAGGAAACTGAGCCATCGTAGCAATCAGTCTGATATAAAAACAGGTTAGTAGTGAAAGCTCTGATTTTCTCTTTGAGGAAGGTTCTTCAACACTGGTGTCACAAGAATCAGTGTTACCTTACACCGAAATGATGCTGGTGGTGCTCAAAAGGTTGTACAGGATGGAAGAATGAACTAAGCAGAAATGGTTCTTCTTCAGTGAAAACGGCTATTTCCGAAAGCCAAATATGGATCATCATCAACACTCCAATCAGCAGCTTCCAAATGCTACACCTAGCTGGTTTTAAATATGCAAGTTTAATGCAATTTAGACAAGTAAATACTCCTATGAAGAGGAGGGCTAACGCAGCCTGGTGTTCTGCTGCTGCATAGATTTGCTGGTGCCTAAGAAGGTCTGAGCTCCACTGAAGGCTGTCCTACCACAGGAGTCATTCACAGTGCCTCTGTTCTCTATCAAAGGTACTCATGCTGCAGCCTTTATTTCTGCAAGGGTAATAATGATGCCTGTCTTCCTTAGCTGGCTGCCTGTTTTCTCACTATATTTAGGAATTCACCACTTTTGAGACCATTATCTCAGCAGTATTTGCTTCAAACTGGTTATTTCAAAGTTATTTCGGGACCAGAGAGAATCTGGGGAGGGAGGACAGGCTGTCAATGATTGCAGGAACCTTGTTTCTTTAAGAAGCTAGTACAGAAAAAATAAAATAAAAAAAAAAATCAGCATCACAAAAGAACAATATCACCGGCTGTAACAAATCACTGCCAGTTTTACAAAGCACAGATGCGAGACTGATGTTTTCCGGTTTAGTCTATTCATAATAAAAATCTTTTTCACATAACATCTACCCCCTTTATTAACATGAGCACCACTGTGAATAGGAAAAAATATTAGCTTGAAATTAAAAAGGAAAAAAAAAACATATAGATATTAAAGACTAGAATCCACTATTTCTTCTTTTGTAGATCTACCACAAAGGAATTTAATCTGATCAGTGTTGAATTAAATACTCACAATTTTCCTAGAAAATGTGGCATATCTAGTGATAAGAGCAGTGTAGATAAGCTGCAGGGAAAGGAAGTCAGTTCTACTCGCACAATACTACAATAGCTTAATTTACACAGCACAAAAGTGCAATCTGGTACTACATCTATTAGGAAAGACTAGTACTGGCAAGAATACAAAGATGTTACAATGCCACTCAGTAGCTCAATTTCTGAAATTAATTTAAAAAACAAAGAAACCCAAAACTCCTCACACTAAGTCCATGACAAGACCTAGGTATCTTATGAGTTACAGTATAAGGTAGCTTACAAAAGGTCCACAAATGAAATCTTCAGCATAAATCTATGTGCAAAATTCTATTTTATCCAAAGCTTATTAGCTGAAGCAGTGTTGCATGACACCAGACTAAAGACAAAGACTAGGAACAAGCAGAAAAAACAATATTGCATGTTAAACCAAAATTTTATGCAACTATCTCCACATACAGGAAATCAACGGCCAAACAAAAACCACACACGTGCAACAAAAGCCACACACAAAAACCACCCATCTGAAAACACAATTGAAGATAACACTGACTTTCACATGGGAAAACACAGATACAGTAAGCAAGATCCATCATTTATCTGCTTTCACAACAACTGAAGGTAGCACCCCACAGGCTCTTCTGCCATTGATTGCTACAGAGGCCAGATCTTACAAGCTGTTTATTGCAACCTACAGGAATTGCAAATTTAGCTGCCAGCCTTTATATTATCAATAATTAAACTGTAAGAAAAACTAGTCTTGCAAGTGCTATATTAACAGTAGGCAGAATGCTAGTCAACTACAGAAGTCACACAAAAAAACCCAGAGGGCCAGCTACTGAGTCTAGACCTACACTGCTGGTGGGCACTATACCATGATGTCGTGAGAAACTGATACCACAGTCTATTCTAATACAGGGATACCAAAGGACCATGTCCTACATTGTTTCTGATTTTTTTAAAAAAACAAAACAAAACAAAACCAAATTTAGTGTAGAATATTCTTTTCCATCTCCACTTTTCCAGGAAGTAAGATGTTCACTCCCACCCAACACCTTGGGTACAACTGTCCTGCCTTTGCTACCCAGAGATCAGATTTATTGACTGTGTTACCCAGGCTGTACACTCAGAAGAATAACCACTGCAGCACTGTACTTGCTAAGCACCATTCCTAGCTGGAAGTACAGAGCTCAAGCATCCTGCAAGCTGTCTAATTCTTTATGAATACCATTGGCTTTGAATTATGACTAAGGCCTAAATGTTTGGGGTGTGCTTTATTCAAAACACTTTCTTTTCTTGAACTTGCAATTACCCTAGTCACCTGTTCCCCTTAAAGTAGCACTTTCTGCAGAATTACATCTTTGGGACAAGCTCACCACATGATTCAGAAAAACCCCAGAGCTGTCACAAAGGAGGAGATGGAAATAAAACACTGTTAGCATCAACATAAATAAATTTAAAATTGTCATGGAACCCCAGCCTAAGCTGAAAGCTGCTGTTGCCAAATTGCTGTCCATAAAGATGTATCAATTACAAAAGATGCTTTCTCCTATTGTTTTTTAAGACCAGGGCTCAGTTAAACTGCAGTGCAAAGTTCAGAGCCTACCTTCTCTTTGCAGCCATCATAAAAGCAGTAAAACCAGTCACATTTCAGATTGTTGGGTTTTTTTAATCACTGATCTATTAGGATGACAACCGCCTCTGGACTGAATGGGCAATGTGTATCATTAGGTATATCACCTATTGTCTTAAACACAGTTAAAGATCATAAAATCATAGAATCATGGAATGGTTTGGGTTGGAAGGGACCTTAAAGCTCATCCAGTTCCAATCCCCCTGCTATCAGCAGGGACACCTTCCACTAGACCAGGTTGCTCAAAGCCTCATCCAGCCTGGCCTTGAACACTTCCAGGGAGGAGCAGCCACAGCTTCTCTGGGCAACCTGGGCCAGTGTCTCACCACTTTCATAGGAAAGAATTTCTTCCTAAGAATAGGAAGATAAGAGTTTAAATTATGAATATGTAATCATGAGCCTCCTTGCTTAGAAAAAAAACTACATACAGAACAGTGACAATGGAACAACCTCAGACAGGTTTTATTGCTCACAACCAAGTGACAGTCAATGCAGACCTGCATTTCTCCTGCAATGTGAGCCTCAAGCAGAACCCTTTCTTGTGTTTACCAATTAAGCAGGACAAAATATCTATCCCTGCAAGCCAGTTCACAAAAATTAACTGAATGCAGAGTAGCAGGAAAATATCAATAGTTATACCCTCTGCTCGTAGTTTATAGTCTAATAAAAAACAAGCACGAAAGTGTTCAAGAATACAAAGAGTATTTCACCTATTTTATCCTCAACTTCAACAGCAACAGCTCTCTTGTAATCACACCCAAGAAAGGAAAATAAAAGTTACAAGAAGTGCTAAATGGAAAAAATGGTAGTGTTTCTAAAAATCGCTGTATACATTGATAACTTAATTATATTATTCATACTGTTTGATCTCCAGGAAAGCAAGGCAAGATGTTTGAATAGCTGATAAGGAAAAAAGAAGCTATATTCCACAAAATATATAAGGAAAAAAGAATAATTTGTTGTAATCTACGCCATCATAGAGACTTTTTTTAAAATTTAAATAAAGATCATAGGAAACATCCTCTCTATAAGACATATTTAGCATTATCTGAAGACAGTATGAACTCCTTGTGCCAGGGAATCCTTCTTAAGCCTGCCTTCAACTTGCTCGTGCCATTATATTTTGCTGCAAATCTGCAAGACTAAAAGTGAGGCAATGCTGAAACAATCTGTCCTATTCCACACTGACTGCAAAGTCAAGGTCAGTACTGTGCAGTATAACCTAATTATTTATAACAGTATTGTAACAGAGTAACATTATTAGTTGGGGAAAAGCCCACAGTAGTTGACCAGAGGTAACAAAGAACAGTCAGGAACTCTCCCCAGCCCACAGAAAATAAAATACTAGCAACTGTCACTAGAAGTTTTTACATCAAACTATCTGAAAAGCTAAAGAAATAGAAATATGTACATATATTTCTTTGACCTCCTCTTTCATCTCTGAAAAAGATGTAATTTATGAGCAACTAGCTCACTATCTTGAGATCTCTGTAGGTAGCTCAGTAGCGAAAGAGTAACAGCCACATTTGAAGCAGTGTTATTACACATATTCACTGTATTTAAGACATTGTTTAACTTGAAATTATTATTACCTGTCCAATCTTCTAAGTTCTAATGGATAAAGAGCAACTTCACAATAAAACTTGGGAATAAAGCTGCACTATCCAAGCCTATAATTCAATTTACAGCAAATTTTTCAAAAGCACATAGGTGGTTAAAGTGCCTCATCTCACACTCCATTCAAAACACAGGCACTAGCTATTGAAAAAAAAAATTAGAACAAAACACCATCAATTCTCTGTAAGCCACTTTAAGAACACTGCTAAAAACATTAAAAACAGCTTCTCTACAATAGGCAGTCTATGTCATTGTAACTATATAATAAAACTGTTTTCCACATCCTAACTTGGCCACCTACTAGGAGGTATATAGGTGAGAACACAAAACATTCATTTCCCAGCCTTTTTACAGTTGTATTGGTATTATATGAACTCACAAAATCTTAATTTTCAGTTTACAATGCATTTTTCTCAGGAAAAATTGTTAACTTGTAATTCTAAAGAAAGTATAAGTGTAAAATTTGCCATGTCATTATTGTGCTGAACTGCCTTGGTTATAATGCAAATGTTTTCTCCCAGACTCCAGACACTACAACTTTCTTTGTGTTCGATCTATTAGCATGCCTGTTCACTGGTGCAGTTACCCTTCTTGCATTTGAGTAGAGAAAACCCAGCTAAAAGCAAGTTTTAAGCAAGATGGAAAGCTCCTCAGTGTCCCTTCACCCCATTTTCTAGCATGGACTAGTTCAAATAACATTCCTGAAAAGTCCTGGCTTCATTCAGAAGCCCACTATTTAACAATCATAACCTGAGAACAAAATATTTTCTATTACTGCCATTTGAAACATTTAAAGTGCTAAAATGAAGAATGGTTGGAATTTTAACAACTGCATTTTAGAATATACTCACCCTGGATTATAAAGCATAACTGCTGACAGGTTCTCACAAGATTTTGAAAGATCGGTCATAGACAAGCTGAAGGAAGACAGCAGCCCACTCTAACAACAGACCATAAAATAAATGTATTAGACAAACACTGATATGCTTACAAACTCTTACTTTGTTTCACTTTATGAAATTTTAAGTATGTGAAGTAAAGTAAAAAAATATTCCACAGCAATCAAGGTATGTCTCTATTGGTAAGAAAATTGTGAAAAGGTTTAAATTTATCAAACACTGATTTAATCTCACCTTTCTTTTCTCCCTTAGCTTAGCAGCTTCTTTGGGGTGATTAAAGCGAAACATATTGGTTCTTCCAAGTAATATCACAGCACCTGATGAGAAAAACACACACCACTCACTGACAACATTCTGTACCCGAAAATGCCATGCAATTTTTCAGACACACGACATGTAAACAGAGACTCCCATTAAGCAAGAACAAATTGAAAATGCATTTTGATAATCCAAGTGTATAACAATGCACAGTCACAGCTGTGTTAACTGTTGTATACAGTTTATTCCTTCCTTTTCCTACTTAAAAAACAAAAACAAAACCTACACATGTTCACACACACAAAGGTCAATCATGTTCATGCAGTTCAGTTAAAGAATAACTACAGGTAGAAGCAGCAGTGGAAGCAGCTGCCTCAGTTTGATCTGCACACTCTTCAGCAGTGCTACTTCGGAAGCCACCAGCAGGTACCAGGTACGATGGGATCATCCATAAATGTGACTAAGAACAAATTTGTCCATCTACTAGTGATTGCAGTCAGGTTTGAATCCATCTACACTGAAAGCTCCAGATCTCCATAATTTGTACTCTCATTTATCTTTTTCTTCTCTATGTGGAACAACACTGAAGTTTATCATCACTCAAAACGAGATTATTAGATTTTTATACCCAATAGCTATTTTCTGAGGGAACAACCTTGAATAATTCATATTGTTCAATGCACATCCATTATTGTATTTAATCAGTTAAGGTACAGGTCACAAATAATGAGATTCTGGGCAATTCTTATCTATTTTAAAGACAATGGCACCAAGATTAATACTTTTCTACTAAGAAGTAAATTGTCAGTGATGTCTCACTACTGTCATAACATGGAAGTCTTCCAAGTTAACCACCACAGAATCAAGCATTTATCTGCCGGTCAGTATGAGGCATTTTTAAAAAGGACTCCATTACACTCACAGTATAAAAAACCTGCACTTAGACTGTTCACTACAAACAAATTTTTAGCATCTGAGAATTAAATGCTGTCCTTAATAAGGAATGCTCCTCTTAAAATTAGCTTAATTAGGACTATCAACCCAAATAAGGTCATCAGGTCTTGGCAAATAAATGGCACAAAGCACTACAGTCAGGACAGCACTTCTTGGTGCCTACACAACACCTCAATTGTGGACCATACAAACAGTTTATCTCAGTTTAACCTTAAAAAGAATTACCTTTCATAAATCTGTACATAGGTCTGTATTGCAAAGCCATTTTGATACCACCTCTAATTTATATGATGACTTCTCCTTTGAGAAGTGTGCTGAGCATAGTTTATGTGTAAGTGTATGAAAAGGGATCCCTGACAGTCATGATGGTTGCAGTGAAAGGACTAAAACTGTTTTTATATCCTTACTGTTTCATATGCTCACAGTTGTCCCAAACATTTATCTGTTCCACTCTTGCTGACTGCCTGGAGGGGGATTTTGTGACAGTGAGGATTTCTATTAAATTCCTTCATTTACTTTCAAATTAAGATAAAAATAATCAATTGAAAACATTTTTTACCACTTCACTAGGTGGAAGCAACTTAAATAAATGAATTAAAATTTCAGAATGTATATATTTATAGAAATGTGTTTCTAACTTCATGAATTTAAAAGAAAACAGGAGAGACAGGCTTAACAGCAAGCACATGACAGTTAAACCCAGATGACAGATCATATCAACAACTCCTAGGTTTCTCTTTTAGTACTTCTCTGAAACCTATGATAATTCTTGTATTATTCTATTATTAAAGAAAAAACTCTACAATCTTAATTCCCACCTGACAGAACTTAGATAAACACCAACATCAAAGCCTTTTTAGGAAAAAGAAGTCTAGACAAAACTATGCAGTCAAATATTTCCAAAGCATCAGGTTCAATCGTCCACTGCTGTACAATGCAGCTCTCCATCAGAATGTAAATATGCAAAGTGCAGCGTAAATGTCGTCATGGAAACATAACTGGATTTGCTATGGGGTTTGCTTTCCATTTATTTACTCTAAGTAACAATTCTTATTCTCCTTGAATGTTAAATGGCAAAGAAAAAAGGTTTGTCAAATACACTGATAGTACTAAGGACAACAACAAAAACTAAGCAAAAAAATTTATATCATTCGGTGGAGCTCTGATCTCACAATTTAACTGGTTGACTTAACACATAAATGACCAGAGACAATAGGGAAAAAAAATAAGGAAAAAAAAAAAAAAAGAATGCCTGTTGATACCTGTCAGATGTATCTGACCTACACAGAGCAGTATCTTGGAACTATCCAAATGAATGTATCTATAATTAAGATCTTATCAACTTCTAAAAGTCAGTTTTTTATTTTTACAAGGTTTTTTTTACTAGCTAACTATAAAAAACAAGCAGTGGAAGTGATGTTAAGCACAGAAGGTTTGTCAGTTTGGCCTAAAAAACTGAAAGCTTGATTTAAATTGAGGATAAATTTAAGGTAAAGGATAAACTAATTGTGAATATTAATTCAGTTACCTCTAGAAATCCTACCATATGTTCATAAGAATAAAAAAATATTATAGTAAGTTACATTTACACAAAAAGGCCACGTTAGAGAGAACTCACAAATGCTGAAAGTAAGCTGTAGAAGGAAGTGGTAATTAATTACTATGCCTCTTCTTTCTTTTTTTTTTTTTTTTTTTTTTTTAAAACTCCATGGCAGTCTAAAAACTTAACACATTTTCAAATTAACAGTTATTAATGATGAACGGAAACATTTAAATATATCATCACTTAATCAGTGTTACCTAAAATGGTTATTTAAGGAGGATGGCACTTCATGCTGTGAGACTAAATGCTAACACAGCCAGGATACGTGGATTGTGCACGAGTCTTTAAACTAGTTATTTCATCAGCTTTGCCCACCCATTGTCATAGCTGCCACCTTTCTCTCAGACTCAGTCTGGTTACACAGCCCACAGGTCACCTTAAGCAGCTATTTCTCACAATTTAGTAACTCAAAGCAACATTTTCCCCTTTTTTTGAATTCCAAATTGCTTTAGACAGAAATTTGGGAGGGGAGGGAAAAAAAAAGTCATCTTTTCACTCTTCACAGTACAAAAATCAAGTTGTTAATATGCCTGGAAGAGGGAAATAGCATCCAAACTCCTACCTCCTTCTGAAGCATATCAAAACTTTACTGCCTTTGAAATGCAGTAGGATAAAGATGAGTCATTGCAATTTTTACTGCTTACAGTGTTATTTGCCATTAACGTCAATGTTTCTATTGCCAACAATTTATCGATGGGATTTATAAGACATGAGACAAAGGGGGTTGGGTTTTCTTTTTCTCCCCAGTATCTGTAACAGAAACAAGCGCATACGCCTCTCCTTTTGCACAGAGAAATAGACACTTTACAAAATCAACATCCCCTCTCTACACCAAAACTCCTTACTTTCTGAGAGCAGACTCTGAAGCACTTAAGTTTGAGTCCCTTGTTCAATACTGCATTCTTCCCTTGTTACAATAAGCTTACTCTGAAAGCTTCTTTTCAGGAATGTAAAGTGACATTGTTTTTCAGCAGCTGAGCTGCATCACAGCCCCACTGCTAAACAGGTCTTCAGCCCATTGCTAAATGGGAAGAGATTCTGGTTGCTCCTGGAAGATAAAATATCTCGAACCTCTGCAGCAGCACTCACCAGCTTACCTGTTAGCCGGTCCATTCCATGCCAACACAATACACCTTTGTTCTCAGCTGTCCTGGCTGCTTTTTCATTTCCATATTTATATTAAAATTATAATTCTCTAAACTTCCTCCATAAGGGTTAGCCTCCTCCTTTTTGTCAT